AAGCCGAACACCGACCTCGAAGCTCCAAAAGGAAGTGCGAGGAGCTGATCAAGTTCAATTGACCCTGTGATAGGGTTCCAATGGGCAACATAGGACTGAGGTAAAGATTTGGGATGCACAGGCAGTTGCCTATAGGCGGATCGCAAATCATACGGTCTACCTTGTAGAGGCACACCTGGAGCAAGCCGCATAAACGTCAACATAGCAGCGGCCACAACGTCCGGCCCATGCGGTTTAGGAGATTCCTGAACCGTCACTAATTCATTCACACCGCTGAAGCTCAAGTCATCCACTAACCTAACCTTTTCCCCCTGCCTAAGCCCAAACCTGCGGCTGATCAAGCTGTCAGGCTCCAAGGAATGCAACGGAACGGGCCCGGTGGCCCATCCCTTCTCCCGCTCTTCTACCGTTTTTTCATGTACCACAGCATCCACATCCCCTTGCGGCTTTATGCACTCCAAGACTCTGGACCGGGAACCGGGGGCCCATTGTTCAAGATCAGCAGCTTGCCGCATGGCAGGCTTAAATGTTGGCGGGAATATTCCGGTGTTCGGCGTCTGGCCTGTGAGCCGGATGCCGTGCGTAATCTCGTCGAACACTTCTGGATCCGGATACTCATAAGCAGAAAGAAGTTCCTTGAATAGAAGCAAACGTTTTGGTGCCAAAATGCTGGCAACATGTGGCTCCAAAGATGCTTTAAACGATGCCTCTTCGCTCTCCAGCTCCTTGGCCCTTGACAACCACGTCTTAAAGAAGATCGCCCTGTCACGAGCAAGTTGCTCGGAAGATGACGATGCGTTTCTCTGGATGGCGCTCTGCAGGACCTGCGGGAGAGCAGCTTCCCACTTGCAAGGGTGCCCGGCCCTGATAGCTGCTGCCACAAACTCTTGAGGGTCCCTCGGAACACCCCAAGCAGAAACCCACTCATCGCCCGAAAACCCAGCACCTACCCCCTTCTTAACCGTCTTAGTAATCCTGAGAAGTTGGGCCCCGGCGGGGAGCACACGCAAGGCGCAGTCAAGGTGAGGTGGCAATTGAAAGTCCGACTTCAAACGCTCCATGCGAGCCACCGGCCAGTGGAACTGACCGCGCACAAGCAGGACTTGCTGGTGTTCGGAGACAAGGGCCGGGAACTTAGAGGCCTTCGGCTGTGACATTGTTGCAGCTCGCGTACTAGCCACTTGAGGAGCGGCAACAAGGAAGCGGCGGGGCACAAAACCGTCGGCCAGCTTTGCAGCTACATCCCAAGTGTATGTTCGATCCCAAAGCTGAGCCGCCTCAAGAGAGACAGCAGGTGATTCAATTACACTGGCAAGGCCGTCAAAGGCATCACGATTACTGGCCAGCAAGGAACCTGCACCAGCAGCGGCGCACTCGGCAATAGGCAACACTCTTGAGTATAGGGGCAGAGACTGCGCACCGTGCGGCCAGCCGCAGAGCTCCAAAAGGGTGCAGCCGCGGGCAGCTCAATGGACACAAGTAGGCCAAGTTCAACAGCTCGGGAGACCAGGCTTGCAACAGCAAGCTCCAAGTCCGAAGGCATCAAAAGTGGCGGGGCAAAATGCACACCGACAACATGATCGGCTTCTAGCCAGGCTAACAGAAGTTGCTGATTTTTTGTGACATCAAGAATCTTAGGCGGCGCTGCAGGGGCAGACACCTGAACGGAATCAACCGCGAGAGATCCAGAGGCTCCACGGGCCCGCAGCTGGGCCGTCAAACGTCCCATCCCGGAGAAGATTTCCAACACGACTGGGAAGCTGGGCACGGCTCCTGGCGCTGCAAAGATGTCTCCTGTGCCTAAGTCGGGAAGGTTAAACCCCAGTTTCATAAGGTCACCTATGAGGTCAGGCGAGAAAGCCTGATAGCCCTTAACGACAAACCCCACAAGAATGCACCTATTGCCTGCCCACGGCTCAGTGCAGTGCAGTTCATGCGAGTCGAACCGCACAACCCCTTCAGCAAAGGACCGAATGCAGCCCGGGTCCAGTTTCGGATCGAGTGGGCACGGCACATTGCCACCACCCTGGACCCAGATGCCGCCGCTGCTGAAATGGACCCACTGGCATTATTTAGATCCCTGTGTACCCAAGCAGACTGATTTGTCAGTAACGCAAGGCTGGTGAAAACTGCATCGTCACAAGCAGCACGCAGCACAACGGCCAGTAGGGCCGACACCGCTGGAAAAAGTTTCATGTTGCACCTGGCTCCCAGGTTGCCCCCAAGGACATATGCACCAGAGGTCCAGGAATGGCCTCCAGGATGTTCGCCTTCGGAGCGGGCCGGAGCTTCAGATGGAAGCAAACTAATAAGTTCATCTATACAGGCAAAATCGAAAGATTTGGTCTCAAGGATCTTTCTCGCGAAAGCTTCCGCAGGATGATCAACGAAAGGAACCTGCCGGCCAAACTCTTCACACAATCCTGAGAAAAGGACGGGATCAAGCTTGACTGGACCGTGCCCCTGGAAGAGGTGGGCATCACCCGTGGCGCAATCAGGGGCATCCGCTTCCGCTGTTTGTCACTCCGTATGGTTTAGGAGTGCGTGATCGCCAAAGCATTTGGCACACACATGCTTCCTGGTGCACCCAGGCGTGTTGCACTTCCCATGGATGCTATAAGTGAAGCAGATTGCCTCACCTGCAGGTGTGACGGCCGCACCGCCCCGATCCCTGATGAACTTGGGTATGCTGATCCACGGCGCGGCCTTGCCTTTCTTACCTTTGCCTTTGCCTTTCTTTTGCTCCTGGTGCCCTGAGGCAGATGCGGATTCCTGCTGCACCCGCTGCCGCTTCCAAGGCCGGCGTGGATTATTGCCACCCTTGCTAGGCAAATGCATCAAAGCAAAGCTGACCTGGTAAGACTCAAGCGCTGCATGCAGGGCCTCGTCCAAAGGTCGCAGCCCGCTGGGCTCTTGTTTGGGTTTGATGTTCAGCTCGATGAGGCGGGTGAAGACCAGCCTATCAGCCTCTACAATCTGGCTCACAGAGATCCGATTGTGGTTTGGTGGCGGATCACGGTGCATGTGGCCGAACAGCTTGGTCACATACCTATCGTAAGCATTCCAGCTGACAGCTTGAGCAAATGTGTAAGCTAGTCCCCGACGCCGCAGCGCCTCCTGCACCTGAAGCGCCGAGGATGCAGGCATGGAGAATTCATCCTGTGTTTCCTTGATGATGAGGCGGCTCTGGTCGATTTCCACTTGCCGAGATGAATCCTTGGCATGCGTGACCTCATGTAGTCGACTGACACATTTGTCTGGAGACAGATATTTCAATTGGCCTACAGCTTCCTGATGAGAGCATTCATCCAAAAGCTTTCGCCCTGGCTCCAGCGGCCCTTCTATGTTGAGGCCACTCAACTCATCCCGCAACTGATGAAGCCGGCGCTCACGCTCAGCTTCTGGAACCCGCTTACTGGCTGAGTCAGGTTCGGTCACCTGAGCTCGGAGCTGCGTGAGAGCTAATGTCTGTGCCTCAAACAATAACCGCTTCAACGATGCAAGATCGGCTGCTGATGCTGCTGGCACATGGTTGCGACACCAATCGGTGAACTCGGCCTCAGGTATCAATTGGCCTGGTTGGCCCACTGTGTAAGCAAGCTGCCCCAAGGTCTTGAATCCATGGCGCCGCAACGCCTGAACTGAAGTGTCTGACAGCCTCACCTCAGCTGCGCGTTGCACGAAATGGGCTTCCGATTCCACCAACGAAGTCATAGCGGCGCCGCAGGTCCTAGTCTATCCACAAGTATCATATTCCACTGAACAATCAGACATGACAGTGCTTGTGCAGTCACAGGTGAAGCTGAGAACCCCAAGATCACAAGATGGCACTTGCCACATACTCGAGCCCATGGCGACTTGACAAACCATTCGACGATGTCGAATCGTGGCAGGGCCATGCCCACTTGCCGAGGAGGAGGGCAGCCCACACAAGGCACATGCCCTCCACTTCCTCCAGATCGCATGTTCGCTCAAGAGGCTCGTAGCCCACAACCGCACCAACGGCTCATGCCAACTTCAGGTGCACAGCTCACTCACTCATGCGCAGCCCCTTGGCCATAGCTCGGAAATTTTCTCTCTCAAGCAGAGTTTCGCACACAGGTCTTGCACACGAGGTTTCCCATGCGCGTGATGTCCTCTACCAAGTCATAAGCTTGGGTTCTGGGCCTTCCACACATCAAAATCTTTTCACGATAGACACGGTGCAAAATGTGGGAGCGCCGATGCACTACCCACCCACCTTCAGGCTCGACGCGATTATCATCTGCCATTCCTGTCCTGCGTCGTTTCATGATGGACCCTTCTGATCCTCCATCGGAGTCCGACTCACTGCTGCTACTTGAGCTAGAAGTGGAGCTGCTACTCTGGCCTTCATCCCCAGAGTCAGGGTCCACAGCCCCCGGCCGCTCCTCTGCTGGCGTCACGCTGGAAGTCTCCACAGGCACCGGGAACCGTCCTGGCGAGGCGATCTCAGCAGCTGGCGGCGGAAACGCCCACATCAATGCCCGTGATGCATCTGGGGCAAAGGATCCGTTCACGATGAACTTGATAAGGGCCTCAAGCTTTTGCACGTGCGGCAAACTCAGCTCCACCGAATAAATCGCCTCAGTTCCTTCAGTTGCATAAGCATGCCTAAGCAACTCCGAGTCAGGCGGTCGAAGCCCGCCTTACTGGCCCAAGAGGCAGGTCCTTTTCATGCTGTGGCTAGTGACCCGAACCCCTTCCCTGGGGGCATCTCGGCCGAGGCCGAGCAAGAGCCGAATGAACACTGACACTTCGTCAGATGTAATGCTACGCCTGCATAAGCTAAGGGAGTCAAGACTCCGAGGCGGCCGAAATAACGGACCGTTAACCTCGCCCCTCAAGGTTAAGTGCACAGCTGCAAATGCATCCTGGGCCGCGTGTATCCAAGGCTTGCTGTGGGTTCCTGCAACTGGGATAACAATGGGAAGCAGCAGAAGTTTCTTCGCCGTGGCCCGGGAAGTTTTATGGTGCTTGGTGTAGATGATGATGTAACCTTGAGAGCCTTGCTTTGACCGATCGGCATCCTGCGGCACATCCCACTCAATATGTGAGACCCTCTTCAAGTCACTATGGCGGGCACGGCCGTACAAGGCAACCAAGCAGTAAGCGCAGAAAGCACGGTCCCACCTGCTCGTATCTTCACTGTGTAATGCTTCATGAATCACGAGGATTTGGTCCACCGTCAGAGGCGCTGCCTGCCTAACAACCCCAGCCTGACTGGCTAACTTCTCTGAGAGGCCGACACACTTTCGGCTGGGCTCCTCCACGCGAGACAACCCCAACACGAACTTGCAAAACCTCACGGATGACAGAAAGGATGTGGCACTGGAAGCGGCAGCACCAGAAGATTCCAAGAATTTCAAGTACTTCCAGTAAGCTGCATCACAGAAGGCAGACACATTGGAATTAGAGACCACGTCCAACCACCTCAAATAAGCAGCAAACGTATTGGCACGCTTGGTGACCGTGTGCACCGACCTTGTACCAAAACAAGCTATAATCTCCTCCTCAGTCTCAGGCGCAAGACCACACTCCCTGGCGTACCGGAAAACAACTAAGGCCCATTTGGCAGTTGCACGATGCAACAACCTCTCCTCTTTCAAGAGATCGTCATCATCACGGAATTTTCGAATGGCATGCTCACAAATGTTTCCTTCAAGCTTCAAGGTTGATTGCCTCTGGCCTGAGCCAAGGTCCACACGTGAAGCCCCCGGCAACGGAGGAGGCTTCCCTTTTAAAGCAAACGACACCGGAACAAGATTTGCAAGTGCTGTTGCATCATCCTCAGAAAATATCGCTTTCATGAGAGGGGTTTCCCAAGGCAGTTGCAAGGCTGCAGCCGGATCCTCCGCAAAGCGGGCCACAGCCTGCTGCACAGCTCGATTTACAGAAACCTGAGCAGGCACTGCTGATGATGGCATTCCTACACCTTTTGAAAGCTGATTTCGCGGATCCTGCGTCACCACACACTGCCAGTCACTAATGTCACTCCCTTCTGCAGGGCCTGCGGCCTCCGTGGCTGCATCCAAAGATTCCGAACCCGGTCTAGGCTCCTCCGCCACACTGAGTGACGACACACTCAGAGCATCCCAGGGGCAAGGCTCCGGGCTGCACTCGGCCCACTTATTTAAGGACCCTAAATCATCTACATGGGAAGGGGAGGTGGCATTGCACGCCAGCTCACACTCGGCGTCTGAAGCTGAGAGAGCCCCACGGAGTAAAGCATCCACACCAGCATTCGATCCCACAAGTGAACTAGCCAAGCCCCGAGGATCCGAACAAACCGAACCCGAACTAACACCCCCCCCCTTAACCAAAATTGGCTCGGAAGGCATAGGCGGGGCCGCGGCAGCCGGCACAGCCGGGGCAGGATCAGTGAAGCACGGCGAGGTCGCAGAGGCCACACCTGTAGCCAGTGCAGGGGTCAATTCTCCACTCGACTCTGCCATTGCTGCCTGGGAAAGTAGGCCTGCAAAGCCCTGATGAGAAAATCGAAGCAGCTCTCGTTATGCAAGGTGCGTTCTGTCAAGAGGTCAAGGGCTGGGCTGGGGTCAGAGAGGCGAGGCTGCAAGCGACGGGCGGCCCTACGCTCGCTGGTGGTTACCGGATCCAGCTGCTCCTGAAGTCGATCTACTTGGCACCTAAGTCCCGTGACGTCCCCTTGCAAAGCAGCAAACTGAAAACGCAAGGCCACGAGCTCTTCCTCCAAGCGGAGCAACCTGTTGGCTGCAGCCGCCTCCTGGTCCATCCGCTCCTCTACGGGAGGAGCTTGCACGGAGCCCTAAGGGCAGCTAAAAATTTTCACTGCAATGAAGTAACCTCAAGTGACATGAAGGCTATGTCACACATGGAAGAGCATGTCACACATGCGTCAAGCTTGAGCCAAAATGGCTACGGCTAAAAATTTTCACTGCAATGAAGTAACCTCAAGTGACATGAAGGCTATGTCACACATGGAAGAGCATGTCACACATGCGTCAAGCTTGAAGCCAAAAGCAGCCGGCTGGCTTGCAAGTTCCACTGCTCAACACAAGCTGCCGTCACGTAAACACTTCCAAGGCAAGCAGCCTACAAAAGAGGGTACTTAACTCGAGGTGGCCAAATTCTTTTCCTTACACAAGAAAAGAATGCAGAAAATAACTTTCACTTTTAAGGCGCTAGCAGCGGAGCGCTGCCAACTCGCAAAAGCCCGAAGGGCTACAAGTTCAGAGGTTCAAAGTTTGGGGTTCAGGATGTTGGGGATGGAAAGCAAGAACGCGCAACGACATGTTTTGGATCGCACAGCCCATACCAGTCATGCATATGAAACTTTTGGGAGACGATGCCGAAAGCATCAATCCCCATGTATGTATGGGCTGTTTTGAACAGTCCTGAAAACGAGAACTAAAAGGGCGGGTAGGGTGGGTAACTAAAATTTCTAAGATCCCCTCCCGATTGGTCCGCAATGTATCGGATGCATAGATCAGATTCCGCAAAAGCTCTCCAGAGATTGTTCGAAAAGTCAAAGGCAAGACTGAAAAGGTTTCGTGGCCAAAGAAAAAGGCCAACTGAAAATGCACTCAAACTGACATGCCTAAAAGAGACATGCAAGCACTGACATGTCTGACATGACTGAACATAAGTGCAACTGACAGAACTGAAGACTGCATGACAACATGGCTGTGGTCCGAAGCCGCAGTGGCCGGGCGTACAACTGAAAGAGCCGCCGCGCCCCTGCCATCCCCCCCACCCCCCCAGGCCTCCAGGGAACAATTCGTTTGGTTCGTTTCACTGCCCAAACAGGGCTTGTACCCTGGAGGCGTAGTTAAACATTCCAAAAGCCCGAAGGGCTACAAGTTCAGAGGTTCAAAGTTTGGGGTTCAGGATGTTGGGGATGGAAAGCAAGAACGCGCAACGACATGTTTTGGATCGCACAGCCCATACCAGTCATGCATATGAAACTTTTGGGAGACGATGCCGAAAGCATCAATCCCCACTCAACGAAGAGGCATCGTCATGTGCCTCAGCCCCACTGACTCTTCTCGAAACGAATGCGAGAAGGAGATTGTCCTTCGCCAGAAGCAGAGGCACGCGCATCCTCCAGAGTGCTCTGAAAGTTCGCGAATCGAAGTAAAGACGGAAGCACTGAGAAGTTCAACTCACTCCAGCTGACAGCGACCCGAAGGTCCGGACAGAAATCTGAGAAATCATTCTTCGTGATCCTATCTGCCTCCTGATTCGCATCACGCGGCCTCCAGTTCAAGAGACATCTGACCCCGGCCAAGTCGCAGCGATGAGCGTATTCCATCAGCACAAACATCACAGGAACCTTTGTCGTGAGAAGTCGGGCAGAAATGGCATCCGCCGACTTGTTGTCTGTTCCACCAGCGAAGCAGGCCCTGAAAGAGCCAGGACATGAAAACACCTCGGGAAAATCCCTCTCCAGCAGATGAAGCGCTACCAACGAGGATAGCAGTTCAGCAGAGGTACTGGCCCAGGAGCTCCCAAGACCTTCCTTGAAGAGCCAAGGGGCTTCTTCACAACGAAGCGTAATCTGAAACCAAGGAGCGGATTTACAGACAACACCCCTGACAAGGAACCAACCACCTAGAACCACAGAGTCAGAGTTGCAAGCAGCGTCGGTTCTGAAGAGTTCCCCATAATCCTTATCCGCCAGCCCCGCAGGATACGTTCGTGAACCTGCGCGGAGCCGATCAAGAATGAATCGCAGGGTGCAGCGGATCAAGTTGGGCAGTGCCAATACCGCACCTTTGCTGACCACCGCTAGCCATGCGTAGCCCGGCGCGAGGAAGGGTCTGATCCATATCAAGATTTGCGACATAAAGCCTAGCCGGCCATGGAGTTCGTGAAAACGGCGAACGTCCACAAGCCAGCCGTCTCCCTCCATGCCCTCAATCGATCGGATGATCCACTGGCATCTCTTCTCCGAAATCCCAAGCTTAAAGCGGCCATAATCAATCCAGTAACCGACCCAATCAAGTTGTAGTCCCCCGCGCCACTTCTTCTCCGAGAAGGGTGTGCCCTGCATGCACAAAAGGGCAAGGGACATCCAGAGGTTGAGCCATCGATCTGAACCGCCGCTGAGCAGGTGTAGGTCGTCTGCATAAATAAGCATGAAAACAAAAGCCTGAAGCATAACTCTGAGAGACAAGCGGCCCACCAAATCAATCAAGCGGGCGAACCAATAGGCCGCCGAAGCAATTCCGAAAGTTCCTGTGCGGTTAAGCCATACGACTGATGAATCGCTCCGCGTTCTACAAGCGAGCTCCCCCCAATGCTCTGGGTGGTGCAAATATCGCCTGTGCGCCTTCTTCACGTCTCCCACAAGCCCGAACAGGACTTTCTCTTCTGCCACCATGCCCAGCTTCTGAATCGAAGAAATCTCCCTTGGCCCAGGCGATTCAAGACGGTCCAGCATAACAATCTCATTGTTGACGTGAACCCCGTGGGTCCCATCATGGACCACACGGAATTCATGGTCAGGTTTCGGAATCACGGCTTGAGCGGCAATGCGAAGCGCAGGACCAGGGAAGCGTGTTTTCGCCTCCGCCAAAGAAAGCGGGAACATGCGTCCTTCTGCCTCCTCTTTGGTGAAAGCCTCCTCCAAGGCCTTCTCGACTTCAGCCCCATCACGATAGTTCTGCATCAACGGCTGCCAAGTTGACTCATCGTACTTCTGATCTTTTCTGCGGGTCCGGAACACTTGAGGCACTGGCCCCAATGGCGCCGTGTGCCCCACCTCGACACCGTTCACGAAGCAGAACTTCCCCTCCTCGATGATGCGATAGTCTGGGTCTCCAAGAATCCGAAGAGTCTGCGAAATCGCCCTCAAGTAGAAGGGTTGATGAGGAATCATCTCCCGAGCCCGGATGGGATCAGGCAGCATGTTGAACCAGTCCTCCCTCAGTTCTTCCAAGCGACCCTGGTCAAAGAGCGGCCCGTTCCAGTGTCCCGTCGCCAGACGAAAAGTCGACTTCGCCAAGTCCGGAACACACTCCACGACGAACATCCTGACCCTCTCTTTCAAGCGCTGCGCAAAGTCTAAGGCTTCAGCGGACATCGCCGTGCCCCGGTTGCATGGCTTCCACCGACCAGGAGAGCAGCGACCAAACCCATCGACGAACTCATCCGAGGACCCAGCGAAATCCCCCACCATCGGTGGCCCTTCGCAACCAGACTTCAGTTCACTGAATGGAATGTCGTCCTGTTCCGGTAACGTCGCAACCTCCTCCGTGTCGATCAAGAAATCAGCCGATCCCCTCTTACGTTTGCCCGGAAGCTCGAAGTGCATAGATCCAAGTTTATCCCTGTCGGCAAGAGAAAGTCGGTCGTCATTCGCAATGGTATAGCCAGCCAAGACCAGCCTGCAGCCCCTCCAATCTTCAGTGCAATGCCAGACATGGGGATCGAAGGCAATCTTGCCCCCGTCCCATTCCAGTATGCGTCCAGAGGTCCAGGAGCCGTTAATAAAACGAGAAACCGGGCCTCCCTCAGACTGAACCCAGAGGCCCCCTCCCGAAAACTCCGAACAGGCCAGCAACAAATTGTTGAATGGACCATTCGTGGTGTCCTTATGGGGGGGCTGCTTAAGGTCACGAAAGAATGCTAATGAAGTGAAGACGCAATCAGGGAAACCGCAAGACACGAGGCGTGCCAGCAGCTCCGATGCCAGAGGGAAAACATCAATGTTGCGCCTGAGCCCCACCTTGTCCTGGTGGGTGTAAGCGCCCGTCGTGAAAGATCGCTGGCCACTGACTTCTCTGCTGGACTGCCTGACTCTATCCTCATCCGGCAGGAGCTCTGAGAGGCGGAGAAGTTGATCCCGAGCGATCCTACCCTTTCCCATGCAGACCGCAGCCATTTGTTCCGCCTGTGAAGAACTCACTTTAACCTCAACCCCCCTAGCCGGGAACTGAAAGCAGTGAGCAGATTCGGGAACCGTAGCCACCGAGGGTGCACCTCCTCCCCCATCGAAGACGGAGAAGGTCCAGGAAGCGATAGCCTTGCATAAATCAGGCGGATAGGCGGCAGCAGCGGCAGTGTTGGCGGCACCCAAAAGGCGATTGGAACGCCGGTGGCCACAGTACTTGGGCAGAGGCCCCAGATACTTGTCCGCAGAATCAAGACGAGGAGGCCCCATGAATCGCATGCCAAAGGTGGCTGCGATAGAAGAAAGAAACCTGGTGGGTTTCGGCGTGTGGGCTCCGTAGTGACACTGATAGATCGCAAAAGTCACGACCTGCTCGTGCGTAAAAAGTGCAGCAGCTTCTGGAAGTTGCCAAATAGATGCCGGTGTGTGACCGGTGGTTGTCATACCCAGATCTTCAGGGTGCTCCAACAGAAAAGGAATAGAATTCGAAAGGGCAGCCGTGCAGATCTGAAAAGAAAAGGAAACGAACTGATTGCCATTATCCGCCGCAGCACGATGTGAGTCTGAAAGCCAAGGAAAACCCGCAGGGTAAATACGTGATCTCAGTGGCCGAGGACCCGGCTGTACGCATCGTGCCCGAGAAAAGGTATTGCAGGGCGGAGTCACCAAGACCACGCCCCACTCCGAATTTTGGACTTGAAGCAAGCACCGATCAGCCACTGCAGAGTCCAGCAAATCCATACTTGGGTCACGGCAGATGTCGACTTCGGACATCTCCAAAATGATGTTCTGTGACGTGCATAGGACCTCCAGCCAGGCGCGAACATCCGCCTTTCGAGTAGGACCAGAAAACAAGTAGAGGACCCGCAGCGAAGGGCGCACACCCGAAGTGGAATCCGAAATTGAATTAAACTCATCACGACGAAGTCAGGAGCCGCCCTGCGCGCCATGCTGGTATGCCGGGTGGTTCGCCTGGCAACCCTTGACTCTGCACGCGTGAACTCGCTGACATCCCTTGACCTGACACCCACGCTTGATGTTGTAAGCGTAGCACAACTCACGTCCGTCCGGTGTTTTCAAGACCAGATCGAGCCATGACTCGCCGATTTTGATCTTGCCATCGGCCTTGCCCTTTCCGTCCTTGCCACCTTTGTCTTTTCCGCCCTTTTCTCCCTTCTTGCCGTCACCCTTGCGGGGCCACTTTGGTGGCGGAGGGTCGGCGCCGGCCGAGCGTCGAGACAATGCCACCTGAGATGTAAAATGCAGCTCCTTGAGCTCGGTGTTGGTGGTAGCCTCATGCAGCTTGTCACCCAGCGGGGCACTCAAACGAGGTGCCTCCTTGATGGCCCATTTACGAAGCTCGAACTCATACTGAAGCAAGATATTCCAGGGCACAGACAAAGTGTGACGATCAGCATGCGCAGAAGAACTCATGGGAGCCGCCGATGCGACTTGCATGCTGTAGCACTTGTCTCCCAGAAGATATTCCAAGAAACGATCAAAATGTGACAACTGCAATCCCTGCAAATAGGCCCGACCGCGACACTTCGCGGCCAACATCACCCATGTTGATGCCTCGAGCCGAATCTTCGCTCGGAGTTCCTCAGTGTTCTGTGGGAGCTTCCCCTTGGGCTTCTGGCGCATAACACGAAGGCGGCCCTGATTGTCCAGTGAAGTCTGAAGCTGCAAAGAGTTGGACTCCTTACGTGAAATAACCTCATCAAGATAACTAGCGGTGGGCTCGCCATTCTCAATCTGCTCAAGCTTGTGTGCGAGGTACTCAGGCGCAGGCTCCTCAGATTCTGGAACAGAGTAGCCCCTTACCGCCTCCAAAGCAGCTCGCATAGCCGCTCGATCGGAAGAGACGAGGGGCTTCTGGACCCCCAACACCTTAGCCTCAGCCCGAAGCTTAGCTTCCTCCTTGCGAATCAATTTGGAAGCTTCCCAAGAAGTGATGACACATGCCATCCTAGCACGATCTGCCGCACTCTCAGCTCGAACGCCGAAGTCCGCGGTGATGGCCCAAGTCCCCGAACACGTGGCGCCAATCCCAGCGTGTAGCAGCCCGAGATAGAGAGGTGAATGCAAAGCTCGCCGCTGAAGTAGTGCGCAACCACACGCCACATTGCGGCATGTACACACAAGGCAGTTGTCGATCTGGGTTTCCGCATGATGCGGAGCCGCGGACCCGACGTCGAACGTCACAGGAGCAATATGCCAACAGCCGCTGGAAAAGCAGCCTTGCCGTGAGAAGAGTCAAGGGGGACAGCATGATGGGCCAGTACAACATCCGAATACTGAGGAGGTGGAGGGCAAGCATGGACTTGCAGGTCATCTGCGAACTCACAAGCGCCAGCCGCTACATACTGGGCTACACTTTCAAATCGGAGGAGGATCGCGACGCGCGGCGGCGCATGGAGAACATCCTTGCCGACTTGCCGACTTGACGTCCAGCACAGCGGGCGAAGGCTTAGACAATCAGAAGGTCTACAAAGCGGCGCGCTTTACAAGGCTACTGGGTTACCCCATCATCGAGTTCTCCAGAGACAACCTTTGGGTGCAGGTGGGACCTCCAGAGACCTGGACCGTGTGGGTGCCAAAGCACGAGGAAAAGGAGGCCTTGCAGCAGCCGGACCACCCGGACGAGGAGCCGGAAGCCTTCTACTACTCCAAGTTGCTGCTGCATCTAGTCTGGAAGGAGCCAGGCGATTGGCTGGTGGAGCAAGACGTGGGAAGCCACGCAGCAGCGTTCCATCGCATGGCCCGAGACGTGAACGACCACCCGGATTTCCTTAGGTCCAAATGCTTCCCGCAGTTGGACGGGACAGTGAACGCTGCTCGACAGCTGCAGGCCGTGCAAGCCACAATGTATATGAAGGCACATGCATCGGCACATTGTCGGGGCGGCTGGCTCAACAGCAGGATCGCAGAAGAGAACTACAAAGACTCCTTGCAAGTTTTGGAGGCATTGCGAGAGCGGCATGGAGAAGACATCGACTTCCTCGCCCCAGACACCGCGGCCACCGGGCCTGCCAGCAACGCCTCCGCGCCGGTTGAAGAAGGCGAGGAATCCTTCCAGAAGCTCGCAATCGAGAACCCCAGCCCAGAGACCGTGCGCCAGAAAGAAGCGATGAACTATATCATCGGCACGATGCTGAAGCCCCCGGATGCCAAGGACGGCCAGACTACACAGCGGCTTCACATGCTTCTTCACGGGCCGGGAGGCTGTGGCAAGTCCGTCGTGGTGCGTGCAGCAGCTCATGTCTTGCGGCAAAGCATGAAGGGATGCATCATCGCGGCGCCCACGGGCGTGGCAGCGTTCAATATCAACGGTATCACCCTCCATCAGTGCTGTTTATTGCCGGTGGTCAACCAAAGCTATGGCAAGGCCTGCGACATGCCACAGCCGGACGGCCAGAAATTAGCCACTCTGAGGGAGATCTGGTCGAAGGTCACCGTATTGTTTGTCGACGAGATCAGCTTCGTCTTTTCGTGGATGCTGCAGCGCCTGGATCAACATCTGCGACTTGCAAAAGACATGCAGACCCTGCCCTTCCAAAGACTGCACGTCATTTTTGCTGGCGACCTGTACCAGTTACCTCCACCAAATGGGCTGCCCGTCTTCGAGAGCCAGCTTTGGCTGCTCTTCCAGCTCTGCGAGCTCGAAGGGAACCAGCGTGCTGCACGAGATCCTGCATGGGCCGCTCTGCTGGCACGGGTTCGAGTGGGGAAGTGCACCGAGGCCGACATTCAGGTGCTGCGGGGCATGGTGATCAAGAAAGGCAGCAGCAAGCGGCCTGCCCCCAAAGCCGTGAACTTGTACGCCACTCGACAAGCAGTCGCCGAAAGCAACCAGCGCTACAAAGAGGAGCATGTTTTACGGGAGCGTGTGCAGCTGCACGACTGCCCGGCAGTCGACACCAATGTGAAGACCGGCGCTTTACTGGCTCCAGAGTCTGGGCCGAGCCTGAGAACACAGGTGGCTTGGTGAGCCTGCTGCAGGTGGCCGTCGGGCTGCGCGTCATGCTCAGGTACAACATCGACGTGCCCGATGGCTTGGTCAATGGCGCTTGCGGCATTGTGGAGCACATCGACACCGAGGCATGCGGCGGGGAGGTCGAGAAGATCTGTGGAGGAGAGAACATGGCCCCTTTTCGGTTGCAATCTCGCGGCGGGCGGTCACTTTCCTGGACAATGATGGCAAGAGGGCATCGCGGCGTCAGTTCCCCATCGTTTCCACCAAAGCCATGACGATCCACAAAAGCCAGGCAGCCACCTGTCACGAAGGCATCCATGCCCGCCTCGACCACACCATCTTTGCAGAAGGTCAATCCTACGTCGCCCTGAGCCGCTGCCCCGAACAGGCGCTCTGCAGCTTGGAGCATTTCAACCCCAAGGCATTGCGGTTGAACGCCCACGCAGAGTGGGCTTTGACCAAGCTGAAGGTGCAGCAAGCCGAACGGGACGGCCCGCCAACGTGGAAAGCTTTGTTCAGGCCACAGCATACCAAGGATTTCTACGAGCGGCGCCTGGCTGAGTTAGGAAAGCCCAATTGGACCTGTTTCCAGCCGGACTCGAGCGAAGGCATCGAGCGGCCCTGGTGTTGCCCTGACTGCGGAACCGAGACTCCAAACACCAAGCTCGCCATCAAGCAACATCGACAGAAATGCCCAGCCAAACCCAAGCCCAAGTCCCAGCCAAAGAGCAAGCCCAAGGCAAAGGTCTTCGGTGCTTCAGCATCAAACAAAGCAAAGGCCAAGATCAGGCCCGAGCTGTCCAAGCTGGTGTGGACCAAGCGATGCGCCGATGCTGACAGCCGCTGTGCCCCTCCTTCGAAGCGGGCAAGGACGGAGAGATGCTCCAGCAGCGCACCATCCATGGCTGCCTGCTCAACTTCCGCAGCTACGCCGCCGACAACCACGAAGACCGACCTCCAAGATGCCTGTGCCAAGCCTGCCAGCACAGACACAAGCCGACAAGACGAGACGCAGCACTCGCCTGCCATCTATTTTGAATCCCAGGTGGAGTTGCAGTGCGGCATCCATGCTTTGAACCACATCTTCGGCACCCCTACTTTGATGTTGCAGCAATGGAGCGCGCAATCGCATCGTTTCTCGAGGAGAACTGGGAAGCCGGGGACGAGCAGCAAGCTCACATGGGGCCTGGCGGCGACTACTCCATCGAGGTGCTGATGATGGCCGTGCGGACGAGGTCCATGGAGCTCTTCGAGAGTCTGTGCTGGCACATGGAAGACCGCCGAGCGCTGCAGCCTGAAGACCTTCACAACTGCATCGGGGCGATTCAGAACCATGGCGGCCGACACTGGACCGCCTTGCGGCACTGGAACGGACGCATTTGGTGCCTGGATTCCCTTCGCCCGCCTCCACGCGTGCTGTCGGACGTCGAGCTGGCAGCCTCAATCAGGCAGCACCCGACCTTTGCAATTCGCTTGATTTAAGATTGCAGCTAAGCATGCAGGTACAGTGGGCATGCAGTGCGCAGCCCTTTTCACTTTCCAGCTGAGCCAAAGGCCGCGTGCAATTGCACAGGCTCATTGCTAAGGCAACGGCGATCACGGAAGGAAAAAGCTGCATGCGTCATTTATTTGGCAAAGAACCTGCAAGACATAAGGGAAGACAGGTCGAAAAGTTTCTGTACATGAACTACCTTCAGCCGAGACATTGCCAAATTGCATGCGTGCTCGGGTTGCTGTGCTGACCGCCCAGTGCTGCATGCCACAACACTGTGGCCCCACGTTTGGGCTCAGCTGCTGGCTGTCGCAGATAGCTGCCCATGTTATTCGGCTCTCCGGTATGCGTGGGCCTTACATGCTCCAAGTCTTCATAACAAGCGTTAAACTCTCGAGCATTTCCTTCCATCGCAAGAGCTGCGGAGGCTTCAGCAGCTCCAGATCAAGCTTGGCAGCACAGCCCCGCCCAGCCCACCCAGCCAGCCCAGCGCAGTTCAGCTACCAGCCCAACCCAGCCTACCAGCCCAACCCAGCCCAGCCAGTAAAGCCAGCTAAAAAAGCGAAGCAAAAACAAAACCGTCTCCCGCATCCCAGAAACCAAAATGCAAAAGCAAAACCCACCACCCGGCAAAACCCAGCAAAACCCCCAAAAACTCCAGCCCAACCCAGCCTACCAGCCCAACCCAGCTCAGCCAGTAAAGCCAGCCAAAAAAGCGAAGCAAAAACAAAACCGTCCCCCAAATCCCAGAAACCAAAATGCAAAAGCAAAACCCACCACCCGGCAAAACCCACCAAAACCCCGGACCCAAGCCCTATACAATTTCTATAAACCCTTTACGTAGTCTAAACCCTTGTCGTAGTATTTTTTTGCACGTATGCACATCTATACATCAATCGTTTTGAACCCTAACTTCTAAACCTTAAACCCTGTCGTAGTAGTCTAAACCCTTTTCGTAATGTGTCTTCCACGTGCGTTCTCAACAGGCTGGGTTCTCTTTCCTTTTTCAGTTTCAGTTTTGTTTCCACTTTTAATGTCAGCCGCCCCGTTTAAATCCTAAGCCCAGTCTAAACCCTAAACCCTGCATCCTAAACCTTCTTCGTGTTTAAGTACCCTAAACCCTAAACCCTTTGTGTATTAGTATGACGCTTTTATTTTTCTATTCCATGCATATCTATATACCAATCGTTTTGAACCCTAAACCCTAAACCATGTTCGTAGTAGTTTAAACCCTTTTCGCAGACGGTTCCAGACTGGTCGGACGAGGAAGCCATGGAGCGTTTCATTCCCAAGTCCGCGGAAGATCTCAGCGACAAGCACATCACTACCAAGTCCCCGAACACGTGGCGCCAATCCCAGCGTGTAGCAGCCCGAGATAGAGAGGTGAATGCAAAGCTCGCCGCTGAAGTAGTGCGCAACCACACGCCACATTGCGGCATGTACACACAAGGCAGTTGTCGATCTGGGTTTCCGCATGATGCGGAGCCGCGGACCCGACGT